CGCGGTTCAATGAAAAATGGACAAAATTTGTACACGAATAATACAATGACAAATATAGCAATTTAAAGACGAAGCCGAACAATGTACAATCGTAACAAAATTATTTTCTTAATTCAGTGAAACAATGGGAAAACTCAAATCAAACCAATTAAAATAAAGTTGGTCTTTATCCGAAAGACACACTGGTCCCATATATTACATCCTTAAATTGTAAATTTGAAATATATATTGTTAACTTTGTATCTATTTAAGAACCTTCCAATTAGCTTTAAAAAAACCCTTTTATGTTGTGCCTCGCTCACAACTGACGTGACAACGAATCTAAATGGTATCACAAACAACAGCAAGGGGACAGCGATTGCTCCGCGAGATATGAGTAGGTCCGCATCCCCCTTGGAAAAGCCGGATCTGGCTTCTCCTCACCACGCGTAGGCGTAAGGCGGTGGCATTTGCTCCATCAGAAGCCACCGCTGTTCTTGTCAATAAGAACTTACTATCGTTTAGTTAGGCTCATGATACTAAAGCTCTAAACCTGTTCTGGCCACAATAAAATATTGGCATCAGCCAATTTGGGCGTGCGGGTGATAATCTTAATTGTCCCGTTCTTGTGCGATTATTCAAATAGTTGTTTTTTTTTATGTCATGATATCTATTGGATGGCACATCAGTGACCTTACAAAATCTCGTATAATTTACTAACAAAATTCAAAATTTCAGGTTAATTTTAATAATTCCCTGAGCAGGAAACGTCTGCACGCAGTCAGCTTATTGCTGACTGTCGTCTCTAACCAATGCAAGGATGAATTACAAGGAATGAATGAGGAGTTACAAGGAATGAATCACAGGAGTTTTAGAAGACAAACCCAGTTTTTCATCAGTTGCCACAAAATTTAAACAAAAACTCGGTTATATCAGTCGAGTTATGAATGTCAGTAAGCTATTAGATATTATCCACTCGAGACGCTGCCAATTTCTGCTCGTGTTTGCTTACTTTTTACGGTGTTTTGAACTTCAGTGCCTGAGATAAACAATAACGCCGTCTGGAACCAAAGGTTCCTTGTAATCAATTTAGAACATCTTTCTTTTCTTTCTTTCTTTCTGAACAATTTGCAAGTTTAAAACATCTCTGCAGACCATTCACATTACTGCTAGATATGTTTACAAGTACAGAAACATATATGTAAATGAAACAATATTAAAGAATCATCAAATTGGAGATTTTATTGAATCCGAGTTATGGCGTTATTAACCCCATATCTTTATTGTTCTTTGATTTGCATTCCAAGGCAATGACGCAGCTGCCTGCCCACCGGGCGCGAAAATCCTCTTTTCGGGGCTGGGCGCCGCGTGGGCAGAGAAGCCGCAGGTGGACGGCCTGCGGGCAGGGCGGGGGCGCCCCCGCGCCTCCGGGTCCGGTCGCGTCGCGTCACGGGCGCGGGCGCGGGCGCGGGCGGCCGAAAGGAGGTCGCCGAAAGTGACAGTGACGCCTGCGGCCGCGTCTCCGTCACAAAACTGTCACTGACTCATTTTCGGCTTTTAAACGCGCAGGAGCCAAACAAGTCAAGTACAGACGCAGTTGCCGTTTTTGGACATACGTAGGATGCCGTCAAAGGTTTTTAAATTTCAGGTTACAGTCGGGCCATAATGAATTGAAATTCACGCTATAATTGATGCTCATTTATTTTTGATTTACTTGCCAATTTCATGAATACATAAATATTAATGACATAATAAATAAATTATAACAATAAATAATACCACGGGAAATAAATTATTCTCTTAAATAAACAACGTGAACATAAATACATATTACTAACATTAAAATCCAGTCTAAATACAACGATCAACAATACTGTAGTCAGTCAACTAAGAAAATATTGCTCAGTCATTTCGTCGAAAATAATACTGAATATTATACCAAAATATCACAAGTGTTGGTTACATCAACTTCAGAGGTCTAACAACATTAACAATTTCAGACTTTTTGTTTCAAACATAATTAAGAAACTTTTGAAGATTGTCCAGAAATTTCCAAGAATTAATGATGGCTGATTACGAAGGACTATGTTGCTTCAGAGAAACACTCTTCAGTGCAGGCGCACGGGGAATATCCAGCCCAGCACGCGTAGAAAAAGGCACCATTCTCATGAAGTTCGCTGCACAAACAATTAGACGCAATTATTAGCATGTTTTACAAATTAAAAAAAGTTAAGTTACTAAATTATCAAATTTCAAGATATTATGACCACAGAGAATACTAAAAAAAATTAAATAAATCCCATCCGGACAAGACGAGGTCACTAATGTAGAGACGTCATCAATGCATCACAAAAAACTGTGTCAATAGCTATCCAAATTCAAAAGAAAAACTTAATAATTCCGTATATTGAATTCATTCCTGAAATATATCAAAATATACTTAATGGTCATCTTTCCCACTAACAACCCTAACGTTTTTCTGTTTATTCACGATCTCTAGGTAGTTTATGCTTGATGAGCTAGCACAGCATACGACAAGTCTCCTAAAGCAAATAATACAATGTAAGTTTCCCTCCGGCATAGAACGATAAAGTCACCGATTAGGCGCACTAATTTGTAGCGAAAAATAATATTGATAGCTCTCACATTGGAAACGCGAAATTTTGCTAATAGGAGGAGGTGCGTGCGGGTCGATCCAGGAAGCGCCACGCATCTATTCCTTATATTATGTAGTTCACGAGTGATTAAATAAGTTAAATATGGACAAAATGCAACATGAATATAGTGACAATGCCTCGACGCATGAGATGAGCGAATCAATCGAAAACGACACCACACCAATCTCCCACGCCGCTCACGCCATATACCGGCTCGCATACAAGGAATATTGCTGACTATTTCTCACACAGACACGCTTCCCAAGCTAACGGTCAGATAACAGCTTTAGATCTTACCCGGTCATACACGACTCAACGCACACGTCTTAAACGCGCGTCTTCAACGCAAATTAGTAACATTTTAAACTTCCGGTATTGGTTTCAGGAAAAAAAAGAAAGAAAAAAGAAGCCTTTTTCCGTAACAATTTAGCGACAAAAGAGCGGCATTTTCCGAGCAATTCCGAGGCACTGGGCCGGGAGCGTTCCCAGAAGCGGCGCGAGGCCCCCGCCGCCCCCCGGGACGGCGCGTGGGCAGCGTTCGCGCTCAGCCGAGCAGACCTCGCGCCGACGCCTGCCTTCGTTACGGGGTTTATGGAGGCGGCCCCCAACGGTAAATAGAAAGAGTTGAGAAACACGTAAAGCATTTCCGAAATTTAGAATATACAGAAAGCCAGTAATTCCAATCGAAGGACTACAATGTTGATTAGTTCTGCGAAATGCAAATAGTTTGCAAATGTAATGTACCAGTGATCAAATAGGCTTCAGCGTAATGAATGTAAATGCAAACTGTGTGAAAATGTAAAGTAAAACGTGATAATAAACATAGCCGCGACAAAACGGACGTTCTACAAGTGTTAATATCCCAAAGAAGCCATTTTTCCTCACTCACTTCACCAAACGGAAAATATCGATTTCCATAAATAAATAAAATGAAACCATAAATAATAGAAAGTGTTTATCAATTTACCTCTGTTTTGCAGAAACAACGAGCGGAAAGGAGCAGCTGCGCCGGAGCGCTGAGGCACCGGCTGGAAAGCGGTGAACTCTCGCGTTCGACTTGCGAAAATCTCAGGCGTCAACTGGCTCGTCGACTTGAGAGGCGTCAGGTCCAAGCGACCCAGCAGCATGTCGGTCACTTTTCCCTTCACGTCCTTCAACAGCTCGTCTTGCTGAATAAATCGGCTGTACAGCATTCGCATGTCCCTCTTTACCAGCTTCAGAATGCGGCACATTTTCAAAGTTGAAGCGTCTCTTCGGTCGGAAGGTCTCAGCCAATAAGCACCTTGGCCCGTCTCACTTGAAGCACCGGAGCGAATGATGGTGACCGTAAGGTGACAGCGATATATATACAACATTCGGGGATTCCTCTTCCTTCGTGTAATAAAATGCACTATCGCACCTCCTCCCACGGAAAATTTCTCTCGCGGGATTCCTTTGTCTGCAAAATAATCGCGTAAACATTCAAATTTCTAACGTAAGTTGATACGGCTGTCGTAGACATAGATTCCGGAATTTCCTTAACCGCAAAGTAGTCCTTGACGTCTGCGTGACAGACTTCCGTTTCCGGCGATCCGCTTCACACACAGGAACAGGTGCCATCTCATCTGCGGTTGCGGTTAGCGATTAGAAAGTCTTTAAATATTATTAGTTAGAGACCAATAAAATTAGAGGGAACACTCTGGAAATATAATAAGACCCTTCGTGCCCTTGTTTTACAAATTATCTTCAAAGGCGGGTGCGGGTGACATTTGAGTGACTATTCTACTCGTAAAATGAAAACAAATAGTATTTAACAATGCAAATAAAACGACTCAATAAGGAGGTGTGTATAAAAAAATAGCTTCCTACTTTCTCGCTACTTCTTACGCAGTAGAGGAAAAGTTACGTCATACTGCGCGAAAGAACAGTGAATTTTCGGATGAAAAAATCTTCTTATAGGGCCATGGTAACAAAAAAGAGGATAAACTAGTTGCTACATTTAGAACAAAACCCTCGTAATACAATTCTGCCAGAATCCTTGTTTTGTGGGTCTTTGATACTGAAGAATGAAATGACGGCAAAATATCGGTCTGCCCATCGGCCCGTCTGTGAACAACGGCAGCGATCCACGTAATGGATCATAAACTTGTGATTTAAAATTACTAATAATTAGCCTCTTTCCTATTTCATCCCACACTTGAGCGAGTCAAAATCTGTGCACTAATAACTATTCATTACGTTACGCAACATTACGCTCCTGCAGAACAAATTTATAAATTTTTGTGTGAATTCGCGAAGTCGCTCTGTACAAGAAACCGAAATATTCTCTTCTCTTCTGTCAAAGTCGCTGTGCAATTTTATATTCCAATTTTAGATGTCTTTTGGTTTCTACAATTTTTTCACAGTAATACTTTCTAATTTAACTTCAAATAATAAATGTAATTACCCTTCCCCTTTTACAAATTCCTAATATTTTCTTGTCTAAACGTTTGTGTAATCGTCCATTTCTTATATCCTTCACTTGTCTTTTCAAAACATACGAACATTCATTCATTCATTCATTCATTTAATAAAAGATTTTAATTATTATCGAAATAATCCACAGTTGCGTGGTCAGACGAAAGAGCGGGACTGATGGCCCGAGTCTCGCCACGTAAAATAAGGCAAATTCAATTCAATTCAAATCAGTTCAAGTGACTGTGTACCCTTCCTACACTATTTTTTGTTTATTTATTTTCCCTGGGTTTGCGACCGGCATAGTTTCTTGGATTCTTTAGAAATAAACATTTGGTAACTTTAACCTTGCCCCTTCGACTGCTTCCTTTTATTAAAAACGTCAGTTTTTAGTTTATCTTATTGCATCTTTTTAGTAACCATTGAGTCACGTCCCAATGAACCGTCACAACCGTTCAGCTCATTTTCTCCTGAATTGATATTCCCCAGTCGATCTGGCTGATGTCCCGGCCCCTTGAATTTGAAACCGATATTTTAATTTTTGAGGGTACTTTACATGAAGCCTCTGGAACATTTCCAAAATTTTCTAAAAATGGCTCTACTCATATATCTTAGAAAGCGGTATACACCGATCGCTGTGTTGACGAACAATAAACCGCGAATGTACTACCATAACCTCTTTCATTTTCATATGCTTAGAGTTGTTTTTCAATATTTGGTGCATTTTGGAACTCTGTTGGGCGTTATTACATTCGTGGAATAGTCCTATTAAATACCACTCGTGCGATCCCCTCCTCACTTAGCGAGTCAGGGACTAATAGTCTCTTAACTAATTTTTTCGTATGTCACTAAATGTATGTTTCGCCATTTTCCGATACCTTTCCCTTCAAATCATGTCATATCCCCGCAATCCCATCACCTCCCACCCCAATTAGCGCCTATTTATTAGCTTCATCACATTTAGTGGTGTAACTGACGTTTTTGGTAGAATGACGTAAGCTAACTGCATGAGGCAATATGTACTAGGTTTAGCGAAACATTACAAAAGGAAACCTGACTGGAGGAAACCCATCAAAATTTGACGTTAATTACCAACAGAAAACATCCAATATTGTAACAGACACAAAATCACACTGCAAATAAAATGCCAGACCCTCGGACTTACGCACTTGTGTGCATAGGGAGGATGGATTAAGGCTACACCTTTTCGCTAAAATAGCACACACTTTCTCACCCCCTTAGCAACGGTAATGTAATAATATTACACCGCATTTCTGTCTATATTAACACATCCCAGTCGATGAGCGCTGACAAAGTGCGCATGCAGCGGTAGGCGCTGCCAACAATGGGCATATATTTTCATATCATTTCTTCTTAATAGCGCCATATTTGCCATAAATGGAAGGTAGTCCGTAGCTGGTGTGAAACCTGTATATATTTCATTAATTTCAAGCAGAAATTACGCAAAAACTACACTTTCTTCAAAAAATTGTAATTTTTTGAAGAGCTAATTTTGTTCAACAGACTGTCTGAGGCAAAAATATATATCTTCAATTTTGTAGTTTTGAAAAGGTTTTTGCAATTTTCGAAAAACCCGAAAATGAGACTAGCACCATATTTCTTATCGGTCCTACATATACGAAGAAAATTTAAAGAACAAATTTAGAGGGGTTTTTAATTATTTGTTTTCAAAAATTTCAATCGCAAACAACGCAAAAACTACTTTTTTTTAAGAAAATTGTATATGACTTATTTGAAAAGCTAATTTTGTACAATAGATTTGAGACAAAATTCTCTACTTCCAATTGCTTTTTTTTTCTTCGAAAAATCGAGGATGTCAAGCATAATGAGAACTCTACCATTCCCTTAAACGCCTTTTGCTCTATTCAACAACAAAATTTAATAAAAGAAATGGAGCCATTTTTTAAACATTTTAAGAATGTCCCAGGGGCTCCATGCACCTCCCAAAATTAAAATAGCGGTTTCCAATTCCAGAGTCCACGACATTAGCTAGACCGATTGGGGAATATTAACTTTGCAAAAGGTCGGCTGAACGGGTTATGCGCTAGGGTTGTGCACAGACGGGCGGACAGACACGTTTTGCCGTCAATCAATTTTTGACGTATGAAGGACACTCAAAACATGGATTCTGGCTACACCATTGTTAGAGGATTTTTTTCTATATTTACCAATGGGCTTTATCCACTTTTTCCTACCAGGGCCCAGCAATAAGAGTGTTAGTGTCGAAAATTCGCCGTTTTCCGGTGCACGATTATAATTTTTTCTCTTCTTATGTTAATAAGTGCGAGAGAGTAAAAGAAGTAAAGCTTATTTCTTTCTCTACGGTCATTCTATTTTTCAGATTCATCTTTTGATTGTTTTAGATACATGACGTGTTGCAAATTATCGATTTCTTTCAAACAATGATATAAATGTTGAAAAAAAATACATAAAAATAACGTGATTATTGGGCACAAATTTCATATATACCGTATATTTTAAAACTATTGTCTAAAAATGAAGACAATTAGCAACAAGTCATTCTATTTTCCGTCTGCACGCAAAAATGCACTCGCCAGAATTATTCGCCAGAAGGTGTTGTAGCAAGCAAGAAGACTCGCAGAAGACGTAGACGATGTAGCGAAAAAACAATCGAGATGGAGAAATAACATTTAATTTCCTCTGGAATATTATACGCTGGTTCACTAATGTCCCATTAAAATAATACAATCTAAACTGATTTCCCAGAGATTTCCTAGCAACTGAAAACACAGGACTATAGAACGTTCATTTACATGATAAAAAAGAGTAAATTTATTATTTGGCAGTTATTGTTGCTAAACCACCACTGGATAATCCTAAGGTGTTCTTGGTAACGTCCTGTCTCACACGCCGTTCTCATAGACCTATGAAACGCCCCTAGCAGGCCTTCCCGTTGATGTGCGTGGCACGTTAGAAATCAAAAGCTTGATATCTGACCGGCGGTCCTTGATATCTGTGCGGGATACACATATCTATCTACTGCAATCACACTTCCGTCCATCCAAGCATCTAGACAGACACGCCCTCTTTTCGCCTCAGCAGCAAACATCTTTTTTTTCGTCTCATGTAGCCCAAAAACAGTACTTACCATTGACACGGCAACCTCAAATTTTTGGCCTGAATCCAATCGTTTTCTTCTTCACAGGTATGCCCGAGGAAAAGAAAAAATTATCAGGGAAAACTAAGAATGCGGTACAAAGTGAAGTTATTTTTTCTCTCGCGCCCTCTCCCTCTCGCGCCCTCTCCCTCTCGCGCCCTCTCCCTCTCGCGCCCTCTCCCTCTCGCGCTCTCGCCCGTGCGCGTGGTCTGCTGCGCTCTTCCCCGCCTCGCCCCCATTGAGGCAGGCGAGTCCTTTAAAAAAGAGGTCGCCTGGAAGGGGAGGCGCCGGCCTGCCCCACATTATAATTGACAAGGCGACTCCGCCGCGAGCGTATTTTCGTCTTTCGCGCCGGCGCGCTGAGGCCACCTGAGGGCAGGCGCCCCTCCGCCGACGCGACTCGCGAAAACGACCCGGAGAAAAACACGGCGAAAATAGAACGTCATGTAGCGCGTTCGACAGACAAGCGGTAATTTGCTGACGTCGGAACTGTCCCAAAGAAGAAGAAGCGAATACAAGAACGTACAATATATTTCAATGATGATCATCAGATACATATCAGATCACTTTCTTTTCTCACCGTATCAGTGCCCCCCCCTTTCTTTAACCAAAAATATTTTATCTTTCCTACAATATCAATATTTTGTGACTAGTATTCACTACCACTCCGATTTGAAGGAAAGATTGATAAAGAGAGAACGAAACAAAGGAAAGGTACAACGATGTTCCAAATAATTACGATCCCATCTTTGTCTGTTCAATATAGTATTTGAACATGCACGG